TCTTGTATGCTTCTGCAAAGGTATTTAGGATGGCTTGTAGGTCTTCTGAATGTGCACAGACTACGTTATCATCAGCATATTGGAGTTCTATAACAGATGTTGTTGTGACCTTGGTTTTGGCTTTCAGCTTGCTGAGGTTAAATAGCTTGCCATCTGTCCAATAGGTGACTTGGCTTGGAGGAGATCCTCTGCCACGTCATTGGAGCCAGAGCCAATCATAGAGTGAGCCGGTCTGAGCCTTTTTTTTTTTTTTTGTCGTGTCAGGAGTGACTCCTGGTGTGAGAGAATTGGCGTCTGCAAGGACGTTGTCCAGGGGACACCCGGATGATTTGATGTTTTTATCATCCTTGTGGGAGGCTTCTCTCATGTCCCCGCATGAGGAGCTGGAGCTGATAGAGGGAGCTCATCCGCCTCTCCCCGGATTCGAACCTGCAACCTGTCGGTCTTCAGTCCTGCCAGCACAGGGGTTTAACCCAGTGCGCCACGGGGGTCTGAGCCTGTCGTTTGGCCTGCCCCTTGGCACCGACCGGCTCACGGCACTCAGCCAATCGGGGTCGGGAGAGGGAAACTCAAACACAATGTCAGTGCATGAATCTTTGACTGTATAAAAATTATTGCACACTCCATGTTGGTTATGCTTGTAGTTTTGGGCATCCACTCTTGGGTAATTAAAGCCTCTGTCTCTGTCTTAGAACCCTGGAACATTTAATTGTTACCGTAAAATGCTTGCCAGGCCGAACTCTCATTTAATTGCAACCTAAATTTTATTCACATCAAAGGAAGAGATCCTTCCTAAACTCCCTGGTGGTAAAATTCAGCAATGGAATATGCTGCCTCAGAGAGTGGTGGAGTTTCCCCGTTTTGGAAGTTTTTAAGCAGAAGCTAGGTGGCCATCTGTTGAAAGGGTTTGTGTAGTGCAGGGGTCCCCAAACCAAGGCCCGCGGGCTGGATATGGCCCCCCGAGAGCATTTATCCGGCCCGCGGGGTGTGGAGAAGGGGGGGAGGTGGCGGGCGAAGCAGCTTCAGGGCTGCTTTGTCCTTCGCCTCCCTGGGCCCAGCCGGCTCTTCTCCTGCCTTCAGGAAGGGGCCTGGCCTCATCCCGACGGCAGGAGAAGGCGGGGGGAGGCGGCGGGCAAAGCAGCTTCGGGGCTGCTTTGTCCTCTGCCTCCTTGGGCCCAGCCAGCTCTTCTGCCTTCGGGAAGGGGCCACGAGCTGCGTGCAACCGCAGAGCAGAGCCAGGCGGAGCAGCAGCCGCGTCCCAGGCATGGTGCGCCTCCCGAGCCTCTGCCTGTCAGGGCGGGGACTCCATGGGCTTCCCTGCAAGGCAAGGAGCAGAGGGAGGGGGTCAGTGCGGAGGGAGGGAGGGAGGGGTCTCCTTCCACCAGGGAAGCACCCGCCAAGACCCTCCTCCTCCTCCTCCTCCTCTGCTGGGCAAGAACCCCCTCCCTTCACACACACACACACACACAGACATCATCTGGGTTGTAGATTTTGGGCTGTATGGCTGTGTTCCAGAAGCATTCTCTCCTGATGTTCTTTCTTTGGTTCCATCCTTCCTTGTCTCTTTCCTTCCTTCCCTCCCTCTTTCTCTTTTTCATTTCTTCTCTCCTTCCTTCCCTCTTTCACTTTTTTATTTCCTTCTCTCCTTCCTTCTCTACCTTTCTTTCTTTCCTCCTTCCCTCCTTCTCTCCTTCCTTCCGTCTCTACCCTTCTTTCTTTCCTTCTTTCTCTCCTTCCCTCCTTTTTCCCCTTCTCTTTCCTTCTTCTCTCTTCTCTCCTCCTTCTCTCCTTCTTTCTTCCTTTCTCCCTTCTTCTTCTTTCTCTTCTCTCTCCTCCTTCCTTCTCTACCCTTCCTTCTTTCCTTCCCCTTCTTTCCTTTCTTCTCTCCTTCCTTCCTTCTCTCCTTCTTTCTTTCCTTCCCTTCTTTCCCTCTTTCCCTTTCTCTTCCTCTCTCCTTCTCTCTTCTTTCTCTCCTTCCTTCTCTTTCTCCTTCCTCTTCTCTCCCTCTTTCTTCTTCCCCCTTCTTTCCCTTTCTCTCCTTCCTTCCTTCTCTACCTCTTTCTTCCTTCTTCTCTCCTTCCTTCTTCCTTTCTTCCTTCTCTCCTCCTCCTTCCTTCTCTACCCTTCTTTCTTTCCTTCTTTCTCTCCTTCCTCCTTTTCCCCTTCTCTTTCCCTCTTTCTCTCCCTCCTTCTCTCCTTCCTTCCTTCTCTACCCTTCTTTCTTTCCTTCTTTCTCTCCTTCCCTTCTTCTTTCCGTCTTTCTCTCCCTCCTTCTCTCCTTCTTCTTCTCTCTCTTCTTCTCTTTCTTCCCTCCTTCTTTCCCTCTTTCTTCTCTCCTTCCTCCCTTCTCTAGCCTTCTTTCTTTCCTTCTTCCCTCTTCCTCTCTTCTCTCTCCTTCTCTCCTTCCTTCTCTACCCTTCTTCTTTCCTTCTTTCTCTTCCTCCTTCTTTCCTCCTTCTCTCCCTCCTTCTCTCCTCCCTCCCTTCTGTGTATGTATTTTGTCGCGTGTGTATACATACAGAGATGTGTGTTTGTGTATATATATATGTGTGGTTTTGCGCATGCATTGTATTTTTTGGTTGCTTTTTAAGTCTCTTCCACTGTGTTTTTCAGTGTTTTTATGAGTGATGGTCACTCGTTGGCCTGATAGATGTATTTTGTCCAAATTTGGTGTCAATTCGTCCAGTGGTTTTTGAGTTATGTTAATCCCACAAACGAACATTATATTTTTATTTATTTGATTTTTCAAATTATAATCCAGCCCTCCAACAATTTGAGAGACTGTGACCCGGCCCTCTGTTTAAAAAGTTTGAGGACCCCTGGTGTAGTGGGTTGGACTGGATGGTTCTCGTAGGCTCCTACTGCTCCAATTCTGTAACATGCTTACTTACTTACTTACTTACTTAGGCGATCCCTCGTTGGACGAGTAAGATGGTCTTCCTTGATGAGTATTCTTGTGGGTTCGTAGGTGGCTGTGGAGCCCTATTCTTGACCCGCATCTTCTCCCACAGTGAAGGCATTGGTTTCCAGGTGGAAGGCGGTCCCGGTCGGGGTTGGCTTGATGCGCCTTCCTCCTGGCACGTTTCTCTCTTTCACCCTCCACTCGTGCCTCCTCGAATTCTGCAGCACTGCTGGTCACAGCTGACCTCCAGCTGGAGCGGTCAAGGGCCAGGGCTTCCCAGTTCTCAGTGTCTATGCCAGAGATTTTAAGGTTGGCTTTAAGGCCGTCTTTAAATCTCTTTTCCTGCCCACCAACATTCTTTTCCGTTCTTAAGTTCAGAGTAGAGCAACTGCTTTGGGAGACGGTGGTCAGGCATCCGGACAACGTGGCTGGTCCAGCGGAGTTGATGGCGGAGGACCATCGCATCAATGCTGGTGGTCTTTGCTTCTTCCAGCACGCTGACGTTTGTCCGCTTGTCTTCCCAAGATATTTGCAGGATTTTCCGGAGGCAGCGCTAATGGAATCGTTCCAGGAGTTGAATGTGATGTCTGTAGACAGTCCACGTTTCGCAGGCATATAGTAGGGTTGGGAGGACAATAGCTTTATAGACAAGCACCTTGGTATCCCTAAGGATGTCCCGGTCCTCAAACACTCTCTGCTTCATTCGGGAAAATGCTGCACTCGCAGAGCTCAGGCGGTGTTGTATTTCGGTGTCGATGTTGACTTTGGTGGAGAGGTGGCTGCCAAGGTAGCGGAAATGGTCAACATTTTCTAATGTTACACCATTAAGCTGTATCTCTGGCATTGGGAGGGGATGGCTGGTGACTGCTGGAACAGCACTTTGGTTTTCTCGATGTTCAATGACAGGCCGAGCTTCGTATGCTTCTGCAAAGGTGTTTAGAGTGGCTTGTAGATCTTCTTCTGAATGCGCACAGACGACATTGTCATCAGCATACTGGAGTTCTATAACAGATGTTGTTGTAACCTTGGTTTTGGCTTTCAGTCTGCTGAGGTTAAACAGCTTGCCATCTGTCCGATAGATGATTTCTAGGGCTGGGCGGTTTCGTTTGTTAATTTCGTAATTCGTTATTAATTCGTATTTAAATTAGCTTACGATCTGATATTGAGCCATGCAGGAATAGTGTGAGGAGTAATTAAAAATCGAAACAATTTTTCCAATTTATTTCGTATTGTTTCGTAATTGGTTCGAAATCGTTTCGTTATTATTTCCGCATGTCTGGTGCAAGTTTTAGGGTTGTTGTTTGTTTTATCAGTGAAAAAAATATATAATTATCACACCAACAGTCAACAACAGAGGGAGAGGGAAGCTTCAGAAGTTCCCCCTGTCCCATTTGGAGGTTTTTTTAGCGTATTGCGCAGGTCGCGTCCGCCATTAACGAATCGATTCGTAATTGTTTCGTAATTGTTTCGTAATTTCCGAAATTTCGTAAATTTCGAACTTTTTTAAAGAAAAAATTTCGGAATTCTTTTAAAAATCGAAATGCAAAACCCCCCTAAAAATGAATCGAGTTTAGAAACAATTTTTTCCATGGTTGGACAGCCCTAATATAAACCCATTCTCAGACCTCACTACCTCTGAGGATGCTTGCCATAGATGCAGGCGAAACGTCAGGAGAAATGCCTCTAGACCATGGCCCTAAAGCCTGAAAAAAGCCACAAGAACCTAATGAAAATAATGGTTGGGGATCACCACAACATGAGGAACTGTATTAAGGGGTCATGAGGAAGGTTGAGAAGCACTGTCCTAGTGAGCCGCCCCCCCCCCTCCCCTTTCTCGACTGCCCATCTTCCTACGGAAGCCTCCGCAGACAGAAGTCCTCCTCCTCCTTCGCGCAGCCGGCGGCGCCCCTCGCGGCTTGTTGTCTGGCCTGTGTATGCGGCGGGGCGTGGGCGGAGCCTAGGGCCGGCGCTGGCCAATCAGGGAAGGGCTTTGTTTGCCCGAGCCGCGGGAGCCCCGCTCACCATTCAGATGCTGAGTGGCTGCGAGAGAAAGGAAGGAAGAAAGGAAGGACGGAGGAGGGGGGGAGGGGCGGGCCCAGTCCCGCTCGGCTGAGGGAGACAAGGAGGAGGCGGAGGGGGACCAGCGCGAGACAATGGCGGCGGCCGCCTTCTCCCCTCAGCGCCTGAGGCGGGAAGCCCGCGCGAGTTTCTTCCGCTGGGCGACTTGGGCGGCGGCGGGCCTCCTCCTGCTGCTGCTGCTGCTCCGCCCGGAGGCGGCCTCGGGTGAGTCAAGCGGGCCTCCCTTCGCCCCTGGTTGGCAACATGGCGCTGCTCGGGGGCCCTCCGGCCTGCAAACCCCATCCTCCCCTCAACTCTTTCCCTCTTTCCCGCGTGTTTCTGTTCCTCGCCGTTTCCGACTTGGAGCGCAGTGCACAGCGAACTTTCTTTTCCGAAAAGGCGAGGCTGAAAAGGCGAGGCTGAAAAGGCCTGCGAGGTCGCCTGAGGGACGCCCTCAGCCCCTGGGTTTCCCAAAACAGATGGGCCTCKCTCCTGGCGCAAAGGCGCTCCTGGGGGAGGGGGAGAGGGACGGAGGGAGGGCTCCCTTTCTCCTCGGTGGCCGCCTCCCTTTCCCCCTCTCCCGCACACAGCCCTTTGTGGCCACCGTTGCTCCTTTCAGGCAGCAGCTGGCCACCTCTTCTCCCACCATTGGAGAACCCCCCCCCCCTTCTCCCCACATACACACTTTGCTTGGGGTCTCGTACAGACAGTAAAAACATTTTGGCAACTAGACATTGACCTGAATGTGTTCTCAACAACTTGCAGTATTTACAGATGGTTGCTTCAGCTGTCCTTCATGTTGTTGTTGATTCGTTCAGTCGTCTCCGACTCTTCGTGACCTCATGGACCAGCCCAAGCCAGAGCTCCCTGTCGGCCGTCACCACTCCCAGCTCCCTCAAGGTCAGTCCAGTCACTTCAAAGATGCCATCCATCCATCTTGCCCTTGGTCGGCCCCTCTTCCTTTTGCCTTCTACTTTCCCCAGCATAATTGTCTTCTCTAGGCTTTCCTGTCTCCTCATTATGTGGCCAAAATACTTCATCTTTGCCTCTAATATCCTTCCCTCCAGTGAGCAGTTGGGCTTTATTTCCTGGAGTATGGACTGGTTGGATCTTCTCGCAGTCCAAGGCACTCTCAGAACTTTCCTCCAACACCACAGCTCAAAAGCATCGATCTTCCTTGCCTTCCCTAAAGTCTAGTTCTCACATCCATAGGTTACTACAGGGAATACCATGGCTTTGACTAGGCGGATCTTTGTTGCCAGTCTGATGTCTCTACTCTTTACTATTTTATCGAGATTAGACATTGCTCTCCTCCCAAGAAGTAAGCGTCTTCTGATTTCCTGGCTGCAATCTGTATCTAGTAATCTGTGCGCCTAGATATACAAAGTCTATCACTGCCTCCACGTTTTCTCCCTCTATTTGCCAGTTATCAATCAGTCTGGTTGCTGTAATTCTGCCACGGCCTCCACGGTTTCTCCCTCTATTTTCCAGTTGTCAATAATTCTTGTTGCCATAATCTTGGTTTTTTTGACGTTTAGCTGCAACCCGGCTTGTGCGCTTTCTTCTTTCACCTTGATTAGAAGGCTCCTCAGCTCCTCCTCGCTTTCGGCCATCAGAGTGGTGTCATCTGCATATCTGAGGTTGTTAATGTTTGCTGTCCTTCATAAACAGGGAGAATCAGCCTTGCCAATGCTGTTGCCCAAGGCTTGAATCACTGGGGGCCCTTCTACACAGTGTAACATGCACAGATTATCTATAGCAGTTGTTCTCAACCTTCCTAATGCCACGACCCCTTAATCCGCTTCCTCATGTTATGGTGACCCCCAACCATAAAATTAGTTCCATTGCTACTTCATAACTGTCATTTTGCTGCTGTTATGAATAGTAATGTAAATATCTGATATGCAGGATGTATTTTTATTCACTGGATCAAATTCGGCACAAATACCCAATATGCCCAAATTTGAATACTGGTGGGGTTGGGAGGTTGATTTTGTCATTTGGGAGTTGTAGTTGCTGGGATTTATAGTTCACCTACAATCAAAGAGCATTCTGAACTCCGCCAACGATGGATTTGAACCAAACTTGGCACACAGAACTCCCATGACAAACAGAAAATACTGGAAGGGTTTGGTGGGCACTGACCTTGAGTTTTGGGAGTTGTAATTTACCTACATCCAGAGAGCACTGTGGACTCAAACAATGATGGATCCGGACCAAATTTGGCACGAATTCTCAACATGCCCAGTCGTAAATCCTAGTGGAGTTTGGGGAAAATAGACCTGGACATATGGGAGTTGTAGTTGCTGGGATTAATAGTTCACCTTCAATCAAAGAGCATTCTGAACCCTACCAATGATAGAACTGGGCCAAACTTCCCACACAGAACCTCCATGACCAGCAAATACTGTGTTTTCTGATGGTCTTTGTGACCCCTCTGACACCCCCTCTGACCCCCCCGTGACCACCCCAGGTTGAGAAACGCTGATGAAGGGTTAGAAGGCAGGATCATCAAGTTTGCAGACGACACCAAATTGGGAGGGATAGCCAATACTCCAGAGGACAGGAGCAGGATTCAAAACGATCTTGACAGATTAGAGAGATGGGCCAAAACTAACAAAATGAAGTTCAACAGTGACAAATGCAAGATACTCCACTTAGGCAGGAAAAACGAAATGCAAAGATACAGAATGGAGGACAATGCCTGGCTTGAGAGCGGTACGTGTGAAAAAGATCTTGGAGTCCTCGTGGACAACAAGTTAAACATGAGCCAACAATGTGATGTGGCAGCAAAAAAAGCCAATGGGATTTGGCCTTCATCAATAGGAGCATTGTGTCTAGATCTAGGGAAGTAATGCAAGATACTCCACTTTGGCAGGAAAAACGAAATGCAAAGATACAGAATGGGGACAATGCCTGGCTCGAGAGCAGTACGTGTGAAAAAGATCTTGGAGTCCTCGTGGACAACAAGTTAAACATGAGCCAACAATGTGATGTGGCAGCAAAAAGGCCAATGGGATTTTGGCCTGCATCAATAGGAGCATAGTGTCTAGATCTAGGGAAGTAATGCTACCCCTCTATTCTGCTTTGGTTAGACCACACCTGGAATATTGTGTCCAATTCTGGGCACCACAATTCAAGAGAGATATTGACAAGCTGGAATGTGTCCAGAGGAGGGCGCCTAAATGATCAAGGGTCTGGAGAACAAGCCCTATGAGGAGCGGCTTAAGGAGCTGGGCATGTTTAGCCTGAAGAAGAGAAGGCTGAGAGGAGATGATAGCCATGTATAAATATGTGAGAGGAACATAGGGAGGAGGGAGCAAGCTTGTTTTCTGCTGCCCTGGAACAATGGCTTCAAACTACAAGAGAGGAGATTCCATCTGAACATGAGGAGAACTTCCTGACTGTGAGAGCCGTTCAGCAGTGGAACTCTCTGCCCCAGAGTGTGGTGGAGGCTCCTTCTTTGGAAGCTTTTAAACAGAGATTGGATGGCCATCTGTCAGGGGTGATTTGAATGCAATATTCCTGCTTCTTGGCAGGGGGTTGGACTGGATGGCCCATGAGGTCTCTTCCAACTCTATGATTCTATGACCTGAATGTGTTCTCAACAACTTGCAGTGTTTACAGATGGTTGCTTCAGCTGTCCTTCATAAACAGGGAGAATCAGCCTTGCCAATGCTGTTGCCCAAGGCTTGAATCACTGGGGGCCCTTCCACACAGTGTAACATGCACAGATTATCTATAGGACGGGTCCTCAAACTTTGTAAACAGAGGGCCAGGTCACAGTCCCTCAAACTGTTGGAGGGCTGGATTATAATTTGAAATAAATATGAATTAATTCCTATGCACACTGCACATATCTTATTTGTAGTGCAAAACAATTAAAAACAATAAATTAATTCATAGAATCAAAGAGTTGGAAGAGACCTCATGGGCCATCCAGTCCAACCCCCTGCCAAGAAGCAGCAATATTGCATTCAAATCACCCCTGACAGATGGCCATCCAGCCTCTGTTTAAAAGCTTCCAAAGAAGGAGCCTCCACCACACTCCGGGGCAGAGAGTTCCACTGCTGAACGGCTCTCACAGTCAGGAAGTTCTTCCTCATGTTCAGATGGAATCTCCTCTCTTGTACTTTGAAGCCATTGCTCCGCGTCCTAGTCTCCAAGGAAGCAGAAAACAAGTTTGCTCCCTCCTCCCTGTGGCTTCCTTTCACATATTTATACATGGCTATCATATCTCCTCTCAACCTTCTCTTCTTCAGGCTAAACATGCCCAGATCTTTAAGCCACTCCTCATAGGGCTTGTTCTCCAGACCCTTTATCATTTTAGTCGCTCTCCTCTGGACACATTCCAGCTTGTCAATATCTCTCTCCAGTTGTGGTGCCCAGAATTGGACACAATATTCCAGGTGTGGTCTAACCAAAGCGGAATAGAGGGGTAGCATTACTTCCCTAGATCTAGACACTATGCTCCTATTGATGCAGGCCAAAATCCCATTGGCTTTTTTTGCCGCCACATCACATTGTTGGCTCATGTTTAATTTGTTGTCCACGAGGACTCCAAGATCCTTTTCACACGGAGAACAGTTTTAACAAATATAAACTTATTAGTATTTCAATGGGAAGTGTTGGCCTTCTTTTAGCTGATGAGATAGGATTGTTGTTGTTGTGTGCTTTCAAGTCGTTTCAGACTTAGGTTGACCCTGAGTGAGGGCCAGGTAAATGACCTTGGAGGGCCTTATCCAGCCCTCGGTCCTTAGTTTGAGGACCCCTGATCTATAGCAACAAACACAGAAAACTGTAAATTGCAAATCACAATATCTATATTACAAGAAATTCTACATTAAACGTAAGGTGGGAACAGTAACTTGACTGATTGGTAATCTATGTAAATGAAAATGTAATGTTTGTTTGTGGGATTAACGGAACTCAAAAACCATTGGACGAATTGACACCAAATTTGGACACAAGTCACTTAACAACCCAATGTATGTCCTTCACTCAAAAAAATGGATTTGTCATTTGGGAGTTATAGTTGTTGGGATTTATAGTTCACCTACAATCAAAGAGCATTCTGAACCCCATCAATGATGGAATTGAACCAAACTTGGCACACAGAACTCCCATGACCAACAAAATACTGGAAGGGTTTGGTGGGCAGTGTCCTTTGGTTTTGGAGTTGTAGTTCACCTACATTCTGAGAGCACTGTGGACTCAAACAATTT